TAGCTCATTGAAATATAATTGATATTTGTATATTGAGCTGGTTTCCTATATAGATTGCTAAAGTTGTTAATTAGTCCTAGTTGTTTTTTTTTTTTGTGTGTGTGTGATTTCCTTGGAATTAGCAAGAAGTTAATATAATATGCAAATAGAGCTTTACTTTTTCCATTGCATTCTTAATTTCTTTAATTTTTTTTTTTTTACCTGATTACTCTGCTTAGAATGTACACTGTGGTAATGAGTACGAGATGTTAGAATGGACATACTTATATTCTTGATCCTAGGGGAGTAGCTTCTAGTCTTTACCATTTAATATTATGTTAGCTTTGTGTCTTTCATAGATGCCCTTTGTCTGGTTATGAAGTACCTTTCCTAGTTTGGAAGGTAAATTTATGAGGATAAATTTTGTCATAAATCAGTATTGGATTTTGTTAAGCTAAATAGCAGTTTAACATTAAAAAAATAAAAATCATTTTATGGAGATATAATTCCCATACCACATAGTTCTTCCACTTAAAATGTATCCAGTGATTTTTACCATGTTCAAATTTTTGCGCAGGCTTTAAACCATTAGTAGTCATTCTCCATTTCTCTCCTTCCCACTCCCTGGCCCAGAATGATTTAACTACTTTCTGTCTCAGTCTCTATATATTTGCCTGGTATTTTCTTTCTTTCTTTTTAAAAAATTATTATTCCTCCTTTTTAATTATAATTATATATTTTTTTGACTAATATCTCCTTATCCCTTGTTCCCCTACTCACCCAAGCCCCTGATAGCTACCATTCTGCTCTCTCCTATGAGATCAGCTTTTTTAGATTCCATATATGAGTTGGCATAATTAATACTTAGTCCAATTTCTGTTAGTATAAATAAAATACCTGAAGTATTAGGTATTTCATTTTAAAAATGTTTATTTAGCTCACAGTTTTGGAGGCTGAAAGTCTAGACAGCATGGTGCCAGTCCTGGCAAAGGTCTCTCTGGCTGCATCATCTCTTGGTAGATGGCATCACAATGGTTGGAGCATGTGCAAGAACCATTACATGGAGAGACAGGAAGCCAGAGCACAAGGAGGGACTCTTTTATAACAACTTGCTCTTGAGAAAACTAACTCAGCATCCCACAAGAACTACCTTAATCTCTTCTAAGAGCTGTGCTCCCAGTGACCCTGTAATCAGGAGGGAAATGTTTACTGCTCATCATGTTCCACAAAAATTCTGGAGACAGGTTGGCGAGGAAAATAGGCTTTAAGGAAGTCAGAGGAGAATTTTTTGTTTCAAATCTCCATCTTTGGGAACTCAGGGGTTCTGAAAGCTTTTATAAGAGAAAAGAAAGCATAGTGGGACAAAAGGCAGGTAATCTACATATGTAGATTTAGCTAGCTAGAGAATTTGTCAGTATTAATTTTTCTGTTGTCCTCAGCATGAAGAAACTTTTTATTCTCAGCATGAGAAAGTTTAGGATTTTTTATGTTTTAACCAAACTAACTCCCAGTAGGTCCCATGTCTTAAAGGCCCCACTACTTTGCACATTATCACACAGGGGATGAACCTTTCAACACACGAACTAGGGACCCACTTCAACCATATGTAAACCATAGCAGTGAGATCACGTGGTATTTATCTTTCTGTGCCTGGCTTATTATAATTTTCTCCAGGTTCATCTGTGTTGTTTCAGGAGACATGATTTTGTTCTTTTTATGATAGAATGATATTCCATTTTGTATATTACTACATTTTCTTTATCCATTCATCTATTGATGGATACTGAGTTTGGTTTCATATCTTTGATATTAATAGTGGCTTTTTAATATCCATTCATCTATTGTTGGATACTGAGTTTGGTTTCATATCTTTGATATTAATAGTGGCTTTTTAAGAGTCTGTTAAATATCTAGTAATAAGTTGCTGGTTTTCCCATCCAGAAACAATTATGTGGATATAGTAACATACATACATACACACGTTATATATAGTTCTATATGTAATTTAAAAATGGTAAATTTATTACGAAATGTGTTTATTATGAAAGCTTAAGAGATGTCTTGGGGGGAGATAGATAGGCCATTGAGTATAAATCTATTCTCAGGTTGATGTATTTGTGTTCCAGTGATATGTCAAGATAATAAGCTGCAGATTAAAAATGGTATTTTTAAAAGTATTTGATCCAGTAGTATTTAACAGATTTGTTTTTGTTTTAAGACAACAGCTTTTTTTTTTTTTCCCCCAGTACTAAGGAGTGCTTTACTGCTGAACTTTTCCCAGTCTTTTTCTTGAGACAGAGTATCACTGAATTTCTGAGGCTGGCCTCAATTTGCAATATTCTTGCTTCACCCTCTGAGTTATTTGGTTTATATGTGTGCACCACACAGCTTCAATGTTTTGTTTTTAAATAATTGTAGATTCACATGCAGTTTTAAAGAAATGATCTGGAATATAACATTTTGCATACCTAGTCATATATCACAGTCATGATATTGAGGCTAAAATAATCAGGATAGTGAACATTTACCTTGCCACAAGGTTGCCTCTAGTTGCTTTACAATAGCTGCATCTGTTTCTCTCACCATCCACCCTTTCTTAACCACTGGCAACCTCTGATCTGTTTCCCATTCTATAATTTTATAATTTCAATAGTGTCATATAAATGAAATCATACACCATACAATTTTTTTTGTATGTTGGCTTCTTTCATACCGAATAATTCTTTGAATTATTCAGAATCCAAAATAATTTTCTGGACATTCATCTAGGTTGTTCTGTTTATCAGAAGTTTCTCCTTTTTATTGTTGTGTAATATTTTGTGATAAGTATATACCAGAGCTTAAATTTTCACTTACTGAAGAACATCTTGGTGGTTTTCCCATTTATTTTTTATTTTTTTGGCTTTACAAATAAAACTGCTGTAAAATTCATGTGCATGTTTTTGTGTGAACGTATCTTTGTTTCTGTGGAATACATGTCCATGAGTGCAAACAGCTGCCCCATTTTTCAGGGTGGCTATGCCATTTTTACATTCCGAACAGAAGAATATGAATGATTTGCTTATTCCACATTCTCAACAGGATTGATATTGTCACTATTTTTAATTTTAGCCGTCTTGATCGGCTTGCTTTATAGGGGTTTTAATTCATATTTTCTTATTGGTTTCTAGTGTTGAACATTTTTTCATATCCTCATTTCTTTGTGTCTTATTTAGTGAAATGTCTCTGTGTGTTTTGCCCGTTTTCTAATTAGAACTCCCCCCCCCTTTTTTTGTTCTTATCTGTTGAGCTTTGTTTGTGGTGCTGAGGATTGAACCCAGAGCTTTGCATATGCTAGACAATCACTCTACCCTGAACTAGTCCCAGCCCCCCTAATGAGTTTTGAGTTCTTTATGAATGTTAAATACCAGTCCTGTATTGGATATGAGGTTTGCAAATATTTTCTTCTAGCCTGTAGTTGGGAAAGAGGAGGGGCACGTGATAGTGCTGAGTAGGAATCAAAGTCCAGGCTCCCCACATGGATTTCACTGATACCATGGGGGAGGATTAGCTCATTATCAGTCAGTAGGGATGAATAAGTCCTGTTTTCTGCTTGATCTTTTCTCATAACACCCTGGCCTGGGTATTGGGATGCCTCATTTTAATTTTGCAAGAGTGGAAGTCTTGGTTTCTTACTTGGATTTTGCTAGAGTTTATGTAGGTTGGGCTGGAGTTTTTTGTTTTGTTTTTTTCCTGTGGTGATAGGAGTACAGCAATTATTTTCTAAAGGTTTTCTGTCTTGCTTTGCCATATCTTTCCTGGATTTTTAGCTGTGAGAGCAGATTTTTGTAGGGCTTTTGTCTGTGTCTATTGTTCCTTGTTGCCCCAAATCTGTATATATGAGACAAAAAGAAAACTCGGGGATCTCACCACCAAATCATCCTCAAGTCCCAGGATCCCTAGCTTGTCTGCCTCCTTCTATGCTTCTTTCAATTCTTCTTAAATTGGTATCATATAATGTCCAGAGTATTTAGGTCTACTTAGAAGGAGAAATATGGAAAAATTCATCCACTCCATCTGTGGGAAAAGGCATCATAATTTAAAATATTTGCATATGAAATGAAATATACTATATCATCAAATGGAATGCCAAAGTATAGTATCTTTCTTTAAAAAAAATTTTATTTATTTATTTTTTACATTACAATTCTTAATACAGATTATAGTACCTTTCTAGGTAAACCACAGAAACCTCAAAGAAATTTTATATTTATGATAGCTTTGGGCATTTTTGCTGGGGCATTTTGCCCCAGCAAAAGGTTTTTCTTGCTCTTGGGGGCATAATAGTAGGTGTAGCTCAGGCCTCTGTAATAGCCCAAAATAAACTCCAATGAGGGTTGAATGGCTTAAATAAGGTAGAGTTTCATTTTTCTTTAATGTCATAGTCCAGGTTAGGGAAATAAACTGTGTTCCCTGAGGTCATCTTAAACTGGCTATCCTTATGCATGTCTTCCATGGTTGTTCCAGGCATTCCCATATTTAGGTATCAAATGGTGATGGTAATGGTGATGGTAGTGGAAACACTTGGAGGTCAAGAACTGGATTTTAAGGACAAGAAGCAGAAGTTGCACTTAACACTTTTGATCATATCCCATTGAATTAAACTTAGTTATATGATCAAAACTAGCTTCAAAAGAAACAAGAAACATCTTCAGTTTGGTGGCTATATGTCAACAAAAGTTTGGGTGACTTCTATTACTATAAGGAAGAAAGTGAGAATATATACTGGGGGACAATAGTAGTTTTTGTTCTAGTACTCTAGTAGATTTTTTAGAAGAACTCTATTGGGTGGTCTTGGTTATGAGTCATTTTATTCTATAGTTAACTGTCATTTTTTTTTTTTTACTGTGTTCTTTGACCTTTTTTATTATAAAATAATGATAAGACTTTTATGGTCATATCCTGATCTGGATAGAAAACTGATTAGTATAGTATACAACTAACTATGTAGACTACTTAAAGAACCTACTTATATCTTCTAGGGATCACAGAGTCCACGGGGAATAGGATGCACACCTGAAGCTGTATGTAGTCACATTATTATTGAGAGCCATGAAAAAGGATGTTTCAGGACTCTTACTGCTGAACAACCACAACTGGAAGACCATCCTTGTGTTTTTACATCTGCTGAATCCTCAGAAATGATCAGAGGACGACAGAGCCCATCATCGTGGAGAACCAGGCACATCAATTTTTCCAAATCCCTAGACCAGAACAACCCCCATTTGAAAGTTTGGAATTCCTTGCAGTTACAAAGTCATTCCCCACTTATATCTGATGACTTCAAAATTAGCAAGGGCCTTCGAATGCCATTCCGTGAGAATATGGACCCTTGGCTGTCAGAATTAGTAGAAGTAGAACCTGCTTGTGTGCCACCTAAAGAAGTGGAATTTCCTTCTTCATCACTAATACCGCCCCCAGAACCCATGAAACAGTTTACTACCTCCATCACTTTTTCATCTCACCGACATTCTCAATGCATTTCAGATTCCTCTGTTTTTAAGGTTGGTGTTACTGAAGGTAGCCAGTATACTGGAGCATCTATGGGGGTATTTAATTCTCATATCACTGAAGAGCAAAATTCTAGAGATTTTAAACAGAAAACCTCTTCCCCTTCATCATATAAAATGCTTAGTCATTCACCACATAAAGCTGTGACCTTTTTAGCAGAAAAAGGTAGGCAAAACGAAAAATTATTTGTTGATTTTGAGCCTTCTCATCGAGAGGAAGCACTCTTAGAAAGATCAGATTTTAATGTCAGTCATTCTGAGCCCAGTACCAGTGCAAATTATACATTCAAGGAAATTCAGTTTTCTGATAACCATACCCACATTAGTATGGGCAGACCAAGTTCCACACTGGGAATAAAAGAGAAGAATGTAACCAAAACTGCAGATCTTCCTTCGCACATTTTTCTTGAACAACGAGAACTCTTTGAAAAAAGCAAAGCCCCACATGCAGATCACCATATGAAAAAACACCATTCTTGCCTTTGTCCAGACATTCCTTCTTGCATTTTTCTTGAACAGCAAGAACTCTTTAAACAAAGCAATGCCCCACGTGTAGATCATGAGATGAGAGAAAGCCATTCTCTCTTTTCTCAGGGTCAGGATTATATAGCTTCAGACCTTCCTTCTCCCGTTTGTCTTGAACAACATCAAAGCAGACCCCTAGGTGTAGATGACCACATGAGAAAGCACCATTTCCCCTTTTCTCAAGGTCAGGATTGTGTAGTAGAAAAAAATCAACATACACCTAAATCACACATTACTAGTATGATAAATGTTGAAGTCAATTCAGTCTCCCAATCTGCCCCCGATCACTATACCTTAGAAACATCTGCATCTACTCCACCTTCAAATAGAAAAGCACTTTCATGTGTTCGTATAACTCTGTGCCCCAAGACTCCTTCCAAGTTGGATAGTGGAACCTTAGATAAAAGATTTCATTCTTTGGATTCTGCTTCTAAAACAAGGATGAATAGTGAGTTTAACTCTGACCTACAAACTATATCTTCAAGATCATTGGAATCAACCTCCAAGTTATTGGCTAGTAAACCTATAGCACAAAATCAAGAATCTTTAGGTTTTCTAGGACCTAAATCACCACTGGACTTCCAAGTTGTACAGTCTCCTCTTCCAGATAGTAATACTATTACTCAGGACTTGAAAGCCATACCTTCTCAGAATAGCCAGATAGTAACCTCAAGGCAAATACAAGTGAACATTTCAGATTTGGAAGGATATTCCAAACCAGAGGGGACTCCGGTATCTGCAGATCGGTGAGTCTTGTGATAACAAGCAAGCTGATGGAATTTGTGATAAAGGGTTTAAAATACTTAAGCAAATGTAATTCTCTTGGGGAAGAGACTGATTTTTTTTAAGGGAGGTTGTATCTGACTAATCTGCTAGAAGTCTTTCAAGAATTATGTAAATAAGCAACAACATGTGATGGTAATATGTTTATACTTTCAAAGGTCTTTTGGTAAGACTTGACATCAAGTGTAAGACAAAATTGAATTACTTTCAAAATAATCTTGACCATTTACCTTTTTTCCCCCATATTGGAGATTATCCTGAAGATTTTTGGGAGGTTGCATGTGTGTGTGTGCATGCTTTCTCTTTGTGTCTCCCTCTTCTCAATTTGATTCATTTTCATAATTTCCCTCAAATGTTTAGCATTTAAAAAGAAAAAAAAGAAAACTTTACAGTGGTGAACAATGGCAGATAACCACTTCAGTGAGATGATGTAAGACTAACATCACCAGTATGCCTGTCAACATAATGTGCTCGCCACATTGTAAATGTGGGAAAGGAAACCCAATTCAGCAATAAATGTATTAGATTTATCTTATTCAGCCTAATTTTTATCATCATTCAGTTTTTACCTTAAAAAGTCTTTTACAATATGACTAAAAAGAATTTCCTGTATGTTTATGCCGTATGGTTGGGCATAATATAAACATACATACAGCAGCACACCAGAGAGCACTTTGCTTGGAAAGAAGGAAGGGAAAAATGTTTATTCAAAATCCTTATGTGGTAGTCATTGCGATGAGAGTCTTTTTTTTACTGTCTCCTTTAGTCCTCATTATGACCCTGTAAAGTAGGTACCCCTATTTACTCACTGGGAAACTGAGACACTGACATTGCTACTTGGGCCAAGTGAAGCTGTCTGTAAGGAAGAGGATGGGCATTCAAATGCAGTCTGATAGTTGGCATGGTGGTGCACTTCTGTGATCCCAGCTACTTGGGAGGTTGAAACAGGAGGATCAAAGTTCAAGTCCAGCTAGAGCCTGGGCAAGTTAGTGAGACCCTGTCTCAAAATAAAATGTGAAAAAGGGCTGGGGATGTAGCTCAGTGATAGAGTGTTCCTGGATTCAATACTGTTACCAAGAAAAAGAAGAAGAAAGAAAACAGTCTGTTAAAGCAACAGCTTACTTCCCTACATTCTATTGTCTGTCAGAATCTTGAACACTACTTCCAACCGTTCTTCTAGCCATGATCTTGGACAAGTCATTTCATATCTTTGGCACTCACATGTGAATGGTGGTGGAAACGGGGTTGGAAAACTGAAAGGTTCCTTACTGATCTGCAAGTGATTGAGAATTGGATTGGAGCACAAAAACAAGGCCAGTCTCTGGTTTCAGTATTTTAAGTATTGGGAGGCTATAGTTATTTTAAAACTTTGGGTATGTGTGGGGGGGTAATTTTATTTTATTTTATTTCATTTCAATTTTATTTTCATTTCATTTTTATTTTTAGACGGGGTCTTGCTAAGTTGCTTAGGGCCTCACTAAGTTGCTGAGAATGGCTTCCATCTTGCAGTCCTTGTGCCTCAGTCTCCTGAGTCACTGGGAGTAGAGTTGTGCACCACCACACCTCTTTTTCTTTCTTTCTTTCTTTCTTTTTAAAAATGTTTAAAAATTAAAGGTTAGACGATTTCATGTACAGTGTTTAAGCCCTTCAAAGTTTAAATGCCCAGTTATTGGAACTGAATTCCTTGAAAATCAGATAAAGTTATAAATGAGAAAAATAATAAATTATTATAAACATATTTATAACTGATAGTAATGCCATTTGTTCATAATGTAATAAATGTCAGGCTTTATAGTGAATATTCATCTTATTATAATGATCAGAGAGAAATATTATTACTTAACAAGTTGGGACATAGAGAAATTGATTTAATTCAATATCATCATATGGCCATTCTGTGTTGGAGTTGGCATTTGAAACTGGATGTGTCAACTACAGAGTTCATAAGTAATAAAAACTGTACACACATGTATCTGTATAGAGAGATGCATAAAAGTATGTGTATATATGTGCAAAATATTTTTAAATTTTTAAAATTTGAGTTAATTTTGGATTTACAGAAGAGTTGCATAAATAGTACATTAAATTCCTATATTAGTTATCTATTTCTGCATAACATTTTACCTTGAAATGAAGCAGCTTAAAGCAGTAAACCTCCCAGTTTCTACAGGTCAGAAATCTAGGCATAGCTTAGCTAGATCTTTTGGCTCCCATTGTTTTACAAGGTTGCAAATAAGGTAGTGGCTGCAACTCTGGTCTCATCTCAAGGTTTGAGTAAGAGGGTATATTTCCCAGATCACTCAGTTGCTTGGCCACAGATGTTAGTTTCTTGTCTATTTAAGGCAACTCACAATATGACATCTAAATTTATAAACTTCCCTTAGAGTGAACAGGTAAAAGAACAAGAGAGGGTGCCAAGATGAAAGCCAGCCTTTTTGAAATCTAACCTTATCTTTGCTACTTTGCTTCCAATTGAAATGAATCACTATATCTAGCTCACATTCTGATTCTGGGCATGAATACCAAGAGGTAGAGATTATTGAGAGATATCTTATTTTAGAGGTTTTACCCATTCTGGATTTTATTGAAGTTTACTCTTATGTTAATATCCTATGATAACATCATAACATAAAGCATTTATCAAATGCTTTATGGTTACATCCTGCTTAACCTTAAAATGTACATGCTGCAAACTTCATTTTCTTTTTTTTTTGTGGTATGCAGTTATATCCATTGATCCAGTTCCAAATAAAGCAGTTGCATTAATCCAAAAATTCTCCCATGCCATCCCCTTTATAGAGAATCCCTCTTATGAACCTTGGCAATCCCTGGTCTATTTTCTTCTCAATAGTTTTGCCTTCTCATATAAGTGGACTCATAAAATACATAGCAACCTTTTGGATCTGACTTCTTTCATTTTGCAAAATGCATTTAAGATTAATCTTGCATGAATCCATTGTTTGTTCCTTTTTGTTGCCTTATTAAAAGGAATATCATTGCTTTTATTGTTCCTTTAAATTATAATTCCATTGTACTGACTATCATAGTTCCATTTAAGCACTGAGAAATATTTGACTTACTTCCTGTTTGGGGCCACTAAATTTTTAGCTTCTATAAACATTCATGTATAGGTTTTTGTTTCTCTAGGATACTTGGGAAGATTTTTTTCTGGTATGGTCTTATAATTTTGCATCTTCATGGAAATATGTGGACATTCTAGTTACTTTACATTCTTGTCAACCTGTGGTACTGTCAATAGATATTAGCGATTTTGTAGTTAAACAGTGGTATCTTGATTTGCATTTTCCTAAAGGCTAGTTATTATAAATACCTTTTCATATGCTTCAAGGGCATTGGCTTTTACTTGAGGCATATTATAATAACTGCTTTATAGAGTTTTTGTACTAACATCTCCTTCATCCCAGCATTGATTTATTGTCTTTTCCCATGTGAGTTGAGATTTTTCTGATTCCTCATATGCTGAGTAACTTAGAATTGTATTTCATAGTATTATATTATGAAATGACAGTTATTTAAGTCCCATAAACATTGTTGATGTTTTTGTTTCAGCAAAGAATTAACCAAGCTGGGTTAAAAATTGCAAACAGCCTTTGAGCCTTATCTTTCTTGGTCAGGTCAGAGCAAAGGCTTGTTTTACTTCTATGTGTTCTTCCTGATACTGTTTTGTGTCAAGGCCAAGTGGCACAGAACAGAGGGAGACAAACCCACATGGATTTGCCTCACTTTGAGACAACATTTCTTCTGGTAGAAGAGTAAGGTTTACCTCCCTCAGAATTTTAGGCTCTCATTATTTATATTGCTGCTGTACCATTGCCACCATGGAATTACTTGGGCACTGAGGCTAAATTGAACAGAAAAAAAAAAAAAAGAAAAAAGAGAGAAAAGGAAAAAAGGATTTCTGACTCTTCTCCTACTCCTCAAGCAGAAACTGGAGGAATTTGCCTGGGAGTCTTTCTTTTTAAAATTTTTATTCTAATTTGTTATATATATGAAAGCAGAATGCATTATAATTCATATTACACATATAAAGCACAATTTTTTATACCTCTGGTTGTATACAAAGTGCATTTACACCATTTGTGTCTTCGTACTTAGAGTAATGATGTCCATCTCATTCCACCCTCATTTCTACTCCCATGGCCCCCTCCTTTTCCCTCTCATCCCTTTGCCTTATCTAGAGTTCGTCTAATCTTCCCTTGCTTCCCATCTCAACCCCGTTATGATCAGCCTCCTTATATCAGAGAAAACATTCACCATTTGTTTTTTGGGGATTCGCTAATGTCACTTAGCATTATATTCTCCAACTCCATCCATTTACCTGCAAATGCTGTGATTTTATTCTTTTTTATTGCTGAGTAATATTCCATTGTGTATATATACCACATTTTCTTTATCCATTCATCTATTGAAGGGCATCTAGGTTGGTTCCACAGTTAAACTATTGTGAATTGTGCTACAGTAATATTGATATGGCTGTGTCTCTGTAGTATGCTGTTTTTAAGACCTTTGGGTATAGACTAAGGAGTGGGATAGCTGGATCAAAAAGTGGTTCCATTCTCGGTTCTCCAAGGAATCTCCATACTGCTTTCCATATTGGCTGCACCATTTTGCAATCCCATCAGCAATGTATGAGTATGCCTTTTCCTCTACATCCTTGCCAACACTTATGTTGTTTCTATTTTTTTAAATAATTTTTTTTAGTTGTAGGTGGACACTCAATATCTTTATTTCATTTTTATGCAGTGCTAAGGATCGAACCCAGTGCCTCATGCGTGCTGGGCAAGCACTCTATCATTGAACCAGATCACCAGCCCAGTTGTTTGTATTCTTAATAGCTGCCATCCTGACTGGAGTGATGAAATCTTAAAGTAGTTTTGATTTGCATTTCTCTAATTGCTACAGATGGTGAACATTTTTTCATATATTTGTTGATTGATTGTAT